AACTAGAGCACGGCAGAGGCCACCCAGCAACATACTGGACCACACTGGTACACGCATTGTTCAGGGTCGCACGCTTTGTTCCTTGCAACAGCCTGGGGCACCACTTGCGTAATCAACATCGCGCCATTTGCGCCTGCCACGTCAGATTCGATCGACTGACAAAAAACTTCCCAAACACTGACGGACGCTGTTTAGGTTGAGAGCAAGCAGTCCGTCTAATGAGTATCGCACGTCGCAGCCAGACGCGGAGTGGCCGGCTCCATCAGTTCGAGACCCTCCGTACCAGCTAACCCAGCTGGTTAAAGGTCAGTCAGCGAGGGAATCGAATCACGCTCTCAATGCATGCAAGAGAGGAGACGGAATACAGTGCGGCGCTCGGCACGAGCATAACAGATAGAGATGACCTAACCGATTTTGATTTCTGAGGACGGGATAAGGACGGGGAGGGAGGAGAAAAAGAGAGGGAGAGTGAGAGTGAGAGTGAGAGGGAGAGGGAGAGGAAAAGGAAGAGGGACAGGGGGAGGGGGGAGAGGGAGAGAGGGAGAGGGGGGAGGGAGAAGAGAAGGAGAGGAGAGGGAGAGGGAGAGGGAGAGGGAGAGGGAGAGGGGGGAGGGAGAGAGGGAGAGGGAGAGAGGAGGGGAGAGGGGAGGGAGAAAGAGAGGAGGGAGAGGGAGAGGGAGAGGGAGAGGGAGAGGGAAGCCTCCCAGCCTTCCCCGCCTTCCTGCCGTCTCCACTTAGCCAAGTGCATACAGCCATTACCGTACTTTGTTATGCATCAATTATTTGTCGATCAATAAAATAGCACATCCCTGTAACAAACGCAGTGCATCCCCGTGATATGCATGTTACAACACTATTCCATATCTGACGTGCCAAAAGCAGACATAGTATGACATTTCCTTGCATCCAGCTTTGAAGGTTGAGTATCCATTATTAAATGCTTTCCGTCCGAAATTTACATTTTTTCTGGTCGCGATGCTGACTACGGACTGTCCGCTGTGTAATCAGGCCGACTGGGCGCCCGTCGACGGCCGGACGGGACGCACCCGCCAGCTGCTGCGCGTGTCAGCTGGCCCGCTCCTCCCTCGGATCCACGGCCAGAGTGTGGTACGGGTACAGACCCCATACCGACCCGTATTCACAACAGCACCCCAGCCTGACCTCCTTCGGTCCTGGGGCGCCATACACGACAGGCACTGAAATCTGTGGCCTTTGGAAAGAACTTCTCGGAAGTTGCACTTTTGCTGTCACTGGACAAGAAAATAGGCCGTGTTTCTGTTTGAAACTGACTGTTTCAAGGGCAAAACATGTTTTTTCCCCAATCAATATCAAACTTTGAAACTACATCAGCCGACACGGACAGAATCCGGACGCGAAGACTTCCGACCAGCGGCAGGGTAACGGGCCGCCAGTGCTGACAGGACGGGAAACGGACAGAACCGACCGCTCCGCTCGAAACACGCGTCCAGACGGACATTGGTGTGGGTGGACGTGGCGGATGGGTGGACGATGGGTGGACGAGTCCCGGGTGGACGTGGCGGACCACCCGTGACGCGTCACTACTGGGCCGCCACCCGGGGACCGCGGCCGGCCGACCCGACCACCCCGCTGGGGTCCGGCGGCACGCGTGCGTGTGTGCGGGTGGTCAGTGACCTGCGAAGCGACTGCCAGCCAGCCGGCCGGCAGGCCCACGCTCGGTGGAGGGAGACAGGCCTGACTCGGACTGGCAGCACAAAGGAGGCGACTGTGTTAATAGGCTGTTCGCCCGGAACAGGTCATCGGCTGATGGCGGGGGGGGGGGGGGGGGGGGGGGGGGGGGGCTCCGGAAGAGAACGAGGCGGATGGTCCCGCCGCGAAAGCTTATTGACTGTGTGTTCAGCCTGCATTTATTTAGGCATTTAGTGCCCAGAAGTTCGTCGCAGCTGCTACTTGCGTTATCACAGAAGTTCGGAGAGCAGCTAAAGGGTCTCATTTCCCTTAAAATGTGTTTTCAAGTCATGAATCATGACAAATTGTCACCCCTTCAGCCCCTACAAAGTCAATTCCACAGTATCTCTGATTGTATGAGCTTCTCCATCCAAGGCCAAAACATCACCTTGTTAAACAAAATGTCTATTAGCACCATAGCACCTGTGTCCATGGCACCTTAGTGCCATCTATATACCATATACATAGTACCATATATATCACCATAGCACCATAGTCAGAAGGGTCATTCCATTCTGAAGGCAGTCACGACGGCATGACCCTTCATGGAATGACACAGCTCTAGCAGGGCTGCTCTAGCTGGTGGCAGCTGCATGCCCTCAGTGTGTCCTGTCTTTACTTGGGGTCTCTTAAACATGATTTGGGTGCCTGAGGTTCTACATGTTCCTCAGCATTGTTGGTGTCCCCCTTACCATCATTTGAGTTTATGTGGTGTTTTTGGTGCCATCCTGTTGAGACACCACAAAAAGTATGTGCACTTTGTTTGGGCTGAGAGTTATGCCCAGGTCTTCATCCTCAACATTTTATTTTTATTGCTGTGTCAGGTGATAGATGTGCAACAGAGAGCAATACAAAACTATGAATTCTCTGGGTTCTATCAGTTCCTGTCCTCTTCCAATCCCTTGGCAACCTGCCTTTGCAATGGGATGGACCATGGACCATATGCCTTCCCTGTGCTACTAGGCCTCTGTAACCATCCAACAACCCTTCAGTGTGTGGACCAAATTCAACTCAACCATTTTTCAAGAGACAGAACCCATTGAAAAATGGTAGTGGTTGAAGGTCTTTCTGCTGAATACCATGCTTTTGGCATTGCTATATTTGGGGATATACATATACATATATATATATATATATATATATATATATATGTATATAATATATATATATATATATATATATATATATATATATATATATACATATATATATATATACCCCCAAATATAACAATACCAAAAGCATGGTATTCAGCAGAAAGACCTTCAACCACTACCATATATATATATATATATATATATATATATATATATATATATATATATATATATATATATATATATATATCTATCTATCTATCTATCTATCTATCTATCTATCTATCTATCTATCTATCTATCTATCTATCTATCTATCTATCTATCTATCTATCTATCTATCTATCTATCTATCTATCTATCCATCTATCTATCTATCTATATCTATATCTATATATCTATATACACCAATATTACAAGTTTTATACAAAATTTAGTTCATTCAGACCTCTTCTTGCTTCCAGGGCACCTGTAATGTGATGGCAGAGGCTATATGGTTCCCTGCTTACTTTGCTGCTCACTGCTTCTGCATACCTTGCCATGCCAGCTTGCCCAGCAAGGACTTACACTTGCTTCACCACAAAGAATGGATGTTAAATTTGCAGGATCCTTTGGAGAGGCTGGTGTTGTTTTATACAGTTGAAAACAGTTCTCTGGTGTCACAATCTCCACTTACTGGGGTTGTATTTGGTAGGGTGGACATACTGTTATTATGTAAACCCCATTGATTGGTAGGCATGCACACAATTACCACTTTACAGGTGGTAATGTCTGTGGGAACAGCAAACAGGCTCTGCTGGATAGCAGACAAATCTCATCAAGATGGCACTGGTCCAGAGATATTCCTGGTGTTAAGCAGTGGTCCTGGAGTCCTGTCCTGTCCTGGCTCTGACTGATCCTGATCCTGACCAAACAGTTCTGATGAATGTGAATGGTGTTGTCACCCAAACACAGCGGTGTGAATCGCCCATTATCTAGCAGAACCGGTTTACTGTTCCCAATGATACTGCCACCTGTAGTGAGGTAATTGTGCATATGCCCACCAATCAATGTGCTATAAACTGTTGTTATGTAAAGCCATCATGCAAAATCATAGACTATCTACTTCATAAGCAATCTGTCAAGAATGTGTGCCAATACCTACCTCAAGCAGCCCTTTGTGTCTGGTTACAGTGCTGCCCCCCAACCAGAACTCTTATCCCAGTCTGCACCATTGGTGCCTACAAATATAGACCACAACACTAAGAGCATAAACAAACAATATGCAACATATTTTCTGCTGCTTTTCACTTCTTTAAAACACTGATTTATGGTTCGTTTCTATGTTTTAACAACTGGCTTAGTGCCAGTCATAAAACACACTCAGTCACAGCACATGCTATTGACAGTCCATTATTGGTCAAAACAATCTTATGGATCACCCCTACCTTATTCCATAAAATTTGAACTCCAAAGAAAATGGAATGGGAACATCATACCAGTCTTTCAACACTGGGAACCATTAAATGAGATTCACAAGTGTCTGCCTAAATCAAGGAAGCTGGTAAAGATGGCTTATTGAGCTGCAAAAAAAAACAAAAGAAAGCTATAAAAATGATTCCTACCATAAAAATAATCATTTCAGCATTTCCAATCACATATAACCAATAAACAATATTGATACTTCAACTTAAGGGTAACTGAGTCCCACACATCAAACACTTGATGAACACAACAATTCTGGAGCTGATCATAATATTCCACATGGAGATCAATGAATGAGCTACAATGAATGAGCTAGACACATTGAAGATGTATTTGCACAACAACATTGCATTAGTTTTGTATGAAATTCATTCAATTCAGACCATTTCAAGAAGAATGAAGCCTGTGCTGGCAACATCCTCATGCCTAGCCTTTGACCTCGAAAGGCATTTTGCCCCGTGTCCTTGTGTGCACTACCACACCCCCTATGCCAATTTTTTTTCGAAATTAGGACGCCCGACTAAATGCGATGCTTTATTTTCCCAAGCTAGGCTGATCAAGAATGGTCTGATATGACCCCACACAGAGCGACGGCATGCATGGCCCAAGCATGTCACAGAATCTGGCAACTGAATGTGAAGTAAAAAGGCGAAGAAATCAAACCTATCGGCAAGCGCCTACTGTTTGCTTGCCGGTGTGCAGCAGCGCAAGGCTTCAAAGACAACTACGTACCTTCCTAGGGGCTGAGCAATTCTTGTCCTATCTCGATACGTCTCGTGCAGATTTCAGGATTTAAGGAAAATCCGAGAATTGAGCAAAATTGACCTCCGAACAACGACACCCTCCCACCGCCCAAGGCCGTATGAGGAGGGCAAGACAATCCGCCGATTTGAACGCCCGATCCGCTTGACGTCAGCGTGACGTCATTGGAGCCCTACCTCGGCGCGTAATATTCGGAACCATATGGTACACTCACTGTACGCTAGGGTGTGTCGTCAATCATAACATCTTATCGGAGTATGAAAAAGTGATGCTGATGGTGAAGAACATCACATCTCACTAACTTTGAGAGCAGGAATTTACGAGACCGGGACCTACAGGCCTAGTGGCCTTTTATAATTCCCGATCACCATAACGTAAGGTGAGGTAAGATAAGGAATTAGTAATTGTTGAGCGCGAGCCGACTTCCATTTTTCCATCTGTCAACAGTGGTGCCACCCTTATTGGCAATATTTCCGAAGCGAGCATCATTGTTTTATTATTCTGATACAGGTTGTAAACTAAGCTATGTCTCAGGGTGAACTGTTGATTATAGATGGGAAATAACACAAAACTGTAGGCTTGGCCTGCATTCAACGCTTCTTAACGGATTCACAAACACAAAAACATGCACATTCATTCATCTCCAACATACGGTAATTCCTGGCGCCGGCACTGGCAGACAGAGAACGCGAGTTGATGAATGAACGGGCAAGGTTGCGGCGATGGAGCAGAACAGTCGGGTCACTCCAACTCGTAGACAGGCCGCACTCACCCCGGTCTATGCGGACCTGAGAGGCTCTCTGTGAACGCTTAGGTACCAGGTTAGGTCTCCGTTGGACAAACAACTTCTTCAAAACATTTTTAGACATTTTGGGGGGCCTCAAACATTTTCTGGCATTGTTTTCGGACAGACATTTTCCTCTTGGATATCGGTGTTACAATAAACTTTTCATCAAATCATTCCTTTGAATTACTTATGACCTGTCAAACGATCATGCTTTTGGACGTATAAACAACGTTGGCGATGGATGCTTTTTGGACGCATAAACAACGTTCGCAACGGTGATATCACAAACGCCTTTAAATAACATGTTTTGTAAAGTCACATTACTGTAAGTATTTTGATGAAATGACGAAATCTTATATTTTCAACAACAAATAAATGTCACTAAAACAAATGCATAACTACATATTGCATAATCAAGTATATGACCGCAGCCCAAAATAGTGTAATTCAGTCGGCGACCACAACACAGTTTGGTCGTAGATGACGCTCAAACCTAAAATCGCAAAGCATTAGTAGCACTGAAATCAGTGGGCACTTCTGGATCTCCGAGAAGGAAATCGATCTAGCTAAAAAAAATACGCATCTTGTGTGTTTAGTCCCGTAAAAAAAATATTAGCATGCAGCGCACGAAAAATCACATTCCAATACAAATCTAGAGAAAACCTCATGTGGTGACACACCCTCCTGTTCGCCTGTTACTTACACTCGCGTTGCATACAATCTTACGAGTGAATAAGCGTCCTTTGCGATAACGATGCTGCGAGATGCCATCGTGTAAAGAATGACCTAGGTAAAATTGCACTTCTTGGAATCGGTTGCGGGGGGGGGGGGGGGGGAGGAGGAGCTGAGCCCATAAAGGTAACAACCTACCAAAAACCTTATTTCTCCCCGGATCTCGACCACTTTATTTTTGGTTCCGTATGTAACACATAAGAATATTGTTGATGGCCGATTAAAACAACTCAATTGTAATACCAATCAGGAATAACTTCCTATTTCCAGCTGACGTAATTGGATGTTTTTGAAAAGGTTAGAGTGCAGTGAAAGTTACATAAAAAACATCGAAGCAAAACGACCCGACACGATCAGCGAAAATCGCTCGTTGTTCATCGAAGGGGCCCAAGGAACACAAAATCCGTTTATGCAGAATGGAGTGGCCTGATACGTACAGACGGAATGGCTGCGACAACTCTTCCGTGTACACTACCGAGATGAAACTATATTCAAAGACCAAAGATGACACCAAAGTTACAAAACTATCGTAGCGGAGAATCGAAGCCGGAGATGTGGGTCGAAAGGCCGGTGGAGGAGATCTGGACAACATTTGTTTCTGAATAACGTTTATTTCATAGGAGTCCAAGATAGATGCGTGTTGAAACATCGAGAGTTCATAAACGTGCAATGATCAAAACGTTCAAAATCTCTGCATCCAACGTTCGTGATAGCCAAAAATCGCACAATGTTTCTGGATAGAGAAGAATCCAGTACGCAAGCTCGTAGCACCCAAAATAGCAACATCCAAAGTTCATAACATCCAGCGTTCGCGACGGCCGTTAGTTGGAGGGCAGTGTCAATCACGTTAATCAATTGGACGTCATGGTCGCTGGATGTTACGAATATTGAATACTGGGATTTGGGGCGTTGCGAGCTTAAATGCCATAAACTCCGTCAATGGGCACGGAATTGGACGTATTTTGGGTATTATGAACATCGGATGTTGTGTTTAGGATGATAAGAGCACTGGTCGCTACGATCTTGGACGTTTTTATGGTTCCCCTCCCTGCGCCTCGGTGCGGAGGAGAGTCGAGAAAAACGGGCGGGGCCATGGGACCGACGCATGCGTGGTGCGCAGCCGAGGTGTCGTCCAGGCGGCTCCGCACCCCGCTCGGGATTCTGATCACTTAAAAAGGCGGTTTGAGCGGCCTGGAGATATACACCACAAGACTGTCTCGAGAAACAAGTCGATGACTGGAAGGACGAAGAAGGTACAGGATGGTGACCGGGTGAGTCATCAGGTGGCCGCCTTGGACAACGGCGCGACCAGCGCTTAAACACTGTTGAGAAGTTGGTGCAATCGGGAGAGTCATTCAGCTCCTGGTATTTTACGGTTAGGAGTCGGATATCGACCTTCGGTATACCAGGAAGTACTCAAAATGACTCGGACAACCAAGCCTTTCTTCTGTTCGGACAACTCGACATTTTCAAGCTCTGTTCATTGCTAGATTTCTCTGCAAAACTACATCTACACCGCACCTGCAATTCATCCCCTTTGAACACGTCGCGCAAAATGTGTCGATTTCATTCCTCCACACCCTCGCTGTGGAACAAGTAGGTGAAAGATATGCAACCGAACCGCACTTTAAAACCGTTGCCCCCCCCCCCCCCCCTCCTTCACGCTGAATTACGGCGGTGCGTGTAAGCATGTTCTGATCCTCAGTCGTGTAAGCGTAGTCACACAATCTTTTCCGTGAGAACAGATATACGGAGTACCGAATGAAGTCTGCCGTCTGTGCTGCTCGTCTCCGATTCAACGGCACAACGCGTAGGCAGAAAACTCGCAAGAAGTCGAAAGTGTCATGTAAAAGCCCGTTTGTAAATGACGAACTGTGCAAACAGGTGAACACCGTCGTGTCATCGAGCGGTTTGCACAGCATAAGGTAGCGCAGACTGGGATCCTGGTATGAAGTCCATGCGGGTCCGGTGTGCCCACAAGACCCCGGTGTGACCTGACGCGAGTAAGGTATGTCACGCGTGCGCCAATCGGCTGAAAGGAAAATGCTGGCCACATGCTGGAGGAGGGAATCTGGTCCACTCGGACACGCTGCGGAACCCAGCCATGTAAGCCCCGATAATAGACCGCCGAATCGCGGAAGTGGAACGACTCAGAACCACACGGTCGACGCCTGAGCAGTTAGTGCAGTTAGTCTTGTCCGGTGAGGTGGGATGTGACTGAAAAGCATTAATCATCAAATTGGACATAATGCATGAAACGGTTATTCCAAAGTGTTCCGTGCACGGTTCAGTCAGCCTTTACTTCTGGTGTTTCATAGAATGCCCAAAAATCGTACACATTCGTCAGACAAATTAGGCCATAGTGAAATTACAGAAGGTGCCTGCAATCTGCCGTGCATTTCAAGCAACGGCTCAAATTTCTGTCACATAGCGTAGGCATGATAATTTTACGAAGGTTGAAGGAAGAGACGGTAATATACGAAACGCCAACGTTTTTTTTAAAGTATCAGCTCACGCTTAACGCTCACGACAGATACAACTCGTAGATGGCCGCAACTTGTTGAATAAGAATGTGTACGGTCGTCCCACCCACTGCAGCATGTAACGTCAGCTCAGTTGAAAGATCATATGAATGCCCGATGGACCGATTCGTGCCTAGCAACGACAGACAGTCTCCCGAAAGTTTATTTCCTGGTGTGGGGTGGTGGATGGGAAGATCATTCAGAAATAGGTACTGTAGCAGGTGTTCATATGCATTACACACCAAAAGGAAGTGACGCTGATTAATAAACATGCCCTCAGGCAGCCACACGATCTGTTCGCAGTCAGTCACTCGGGGGACAGCGGCCTAGAGCAGTGATCACCAACGGCAGACAAGATCAGGGCTCAGACAAGGACTACCCTGAAGAAGGGCCTTCATTCTATGACTTGGTTATTACAGGAGAAACCCCGTTTTTACAGTGGCTTTTGTAACATTGCTTTGGTAGATAGTATATAAAGCGTCCGAAACTGTCTAAAATGCCGCGACACACTTTTTAAAAGCAAGCGGCGAATCCCAGGCACAAGAAAACTCTGGCATTTTATGGGCCATTAATTCAACTTCGAAATTTTGACCAGCGTACGCCAAGGCTGTATTTTGACACCTAAACTTTGTAGGCAGATCCTTCCGCAATAACCCAAAACGCCTATTCACTCGTGGAATTTCGCCTCCGCGGGATAAATTCTTTGTAGAATGATAATTTTAGGAAGCTAGATAGCCTTCTTTGCCAATTAGTATAGTCTAGTGGAACAGGTAAGGTCGCACACTTGTAGGAAACAGCTGTAGGTGCATATGGAGCATAGCAACCATGACATTTACTTATTTTCAAAATGCGTGATGTGAATTAAGAGCGGACAAAGCCTTCCAGCTCCATGTTTCCCTCGCAGTCGCCGAGCCTGCCTTCCAATATAAGCTCCTGAAGCATACTCTGAAACCTGACCCTGGCCCCAGTTATAAAACGCTCCTACGCTTACGCTTGGTTATACCAAAGATGAGCGGGCTTTTTTACTGTACACCATCCTTCCTTTATCTCAGCTTGTCGTCG